TGCATTAGAAAGGAAAGCATTTACAACTTTTAATCGTTAGTACTCAGAACTGACAGCCTATGGGGCAGCAAGGTTCTGGAGTGGAGGCCACGTACCATATGTCCACCCACATGGTGAACCGAAGACATCATAAAGGTAGCAGGAAAGCGCTGGATGCAGGCCGCTACCAACCGATCTTTGTGGAAATCATTGGGGGAGGCCTATGTTCAGCAGTGGACGTCCTACAAGTGAAATGATGATGATGATGATGATGAATCGGTATTGCTTAGGTACGTTGCTTATTCGAATTGCGTGTGAAGCCACAGGCAGAAACTAGCTTATAAAATTTCTAGTTCTTTACATTTTTGCCATGACTAATGTAATATTTCTATTGTACTGCTAACCATGTAAATGCTCATTATACTTTGAATAATTGCGATTGTTAGCACGTGGCGTTATAATGGGTATTTGTCATAGTGATCTTAGGATCTTATATTCTACTAGCGGCCGCCCGCGACTTCGAACGCATGGATCCCGTTTTACCCCCTTTGGGGTGGAGTTTCGTAAAATCCTTTTTTAGCGGATGCCTACGTCATAACATCAACCTGCATGCCAAATTTCAGCCCGATCTGTCCAGTTGTTTGGGCTGTGCGTTGATAGATCACAATGTCAGTCAGTCGCCTTTGAGTTATACGCAGTGGCGGCGTAGCATGGGTTGGCACCCGGGGCGATCATCAACCCCCCCCTCACAAGTCTTAAGGCACCCCTGGTACCCCCCCGGATTTTGGAGCTACCTACCAATTCGAAGATTGAAAGACAATCCCCCCCCCCATAGACCTAAGATTTGCCATGCAGATGTGCCAGTAAGTACTAATCTGCGCGACTTGTGTCACCCCCTGATGCTTGGCACCCGGGGCTTACGCCGCTACTGGTTATACGTATATATTTAGATAGGTCTATTACTAACTCAGTCAGTGCCTGAGGTATGGGAGCGGCACGAGGAGGGTGTTGTGACGTCAAACGTCAGGGAGTTTTCAAATGTGCTTCAGATTAAAGGGTATTTGACACCACCAATCAATTGACGCACTTTATAAAACTGTCAAACTGAGACTCTCACATAGATTTTGTATGGCAATACTAGCCACTACTTTTTTCAATTACAATGAATGTCGCTATTATGAACGGTTGGTTTTACACGGGTGTTTAAAGTCAAAAAATTGCTTTAATTGACAATCATTGCACCTCTGTCCCTATTTTATTACAATAACTAATTAATATTTTACACGTTTCAAGAATTAATCACGCATGTAATAATCACTGAAGTAGGCTTTATTACAGCTGATCTATTAGATAAAATGATAGATTAGTCTATCAACTAGAATGCCTATGGCCTCGTTTGGAAATCGATAGTTAGTGGTATTGAAAATGAAGAGAAATATCTGGAGGAGGCTTCGTTCGTTTCAGCCAAACGACGACGAATAAAAAGCCTTATTGAAAAAATATAAATGATATTGATTACTTTAGCCTGTTTAGGAAAATAATTGACTCAAATATGTAGGTATAACAGAAGAGATTAGTAGACCTTAATGGGATGTCTTCACTTGAGCCTCATTGCAAAAAATATGTGACTTGTCATTCTTTTATGGTGCATATTTTTAAGGTCAGCAATAATGTGGCTTTCTATTGGTGAAATAATTTTTAAAATCGGTTCAGTAGACCCCGAGATTACCCCTTACAATTTAGCAAATATACTTACAAACACACTAACTTTACCTCTTTATAATATTAGTATAGACAGGTCTGGCGTTTAACTCAGTTGGTGCCTGAGGTATGGGAGCGGCACGAGGAGGGTGTTGTGACGTCAAACGTCAGCGAGTTTTCAAATGTGCTTCAGATTTGTATGCTCTGTCACGTCAGAATGTGACAATGACACCCCTCACGCGCCGCAGATACAGATTATAGTTCCAAAATACTGAACTGTCCTGTCCATGACATTGACAGCGGGGCGCCACCGTCAATACCGGATCGCTGGTTCCGATTTTTGCCATGTTGGAAACCATATAGTTGAACGATGGTAGCCCCCCCTGTCATTGAGTTTGGTGGGACAGTTCAGCGTGGGTCATCTATATTAGGGTATTTGATTGACACTACCAATCAATTGACGCACTTTTTAAAACTTGCAAAATGAGACTCTCCCATAGATTTTGTATGGCAATACTAGCCAGTGACGTCACTATTTTGTCAATTCAATTAAACTACTTTTTTCAATTACAATGCAACCAAAATCCTAATTTATAGGTAATTTAAAATTAATTAAGATTTTAAGACCAGAATGAAGGATCTTTTTAAAAAAGTTGTGTTTTAGAATTATTTGGGAACTAGCTTTTGCCCGCGGCTTCACCCGCGTGAAATTTAGTGTTACAGATCGGCATAAATTATAGCCTTTATGTTATTCTGGGTTATAAACAATAATACTGTTAAGTTTCATCAAAATCCGTTCAGTAGTTTTTGCGTGAAAGAGTAACAAACATCCAGACATCCAAACTTTCGCATTTATAATATTAGTAGGATGGTGTCAAATACCCAATTGTACATTTGGACTAAATAGTAATCTATTAACTATGTTACATTTGTTGTTGTGTTTTGTGATCACTACCATTGATTAGTTGACATTACAATGATTATTTTGAGGTCAATAGTAATCGGTTTTTTATCGTCTGTATGGTATCTTCTCTCAATTAGTTCAAAAACTGATATGGATATAAATTATTCTGTTAAATAAATGAATGATTTATATAGATTTATCTTGTTCATATCCTTGGATGACGGACATCATACAAAATTACAATACTTTTTATAATGTTTAGACACAGATTTTTTTACGGTTTTTCGGAACTTAATTAATTAATTTATATTCGTCAGTAAAATGTTTAATGTTTAAGGGCCTATTTCACGACTTGTTGGATAAAGTACCTGATAGTCTATCTGTCAGATAAATAAAAAAAAAAAATAGAAAAATAGACGTAGCAGATAAAATCACTTTCTTTCGTTAAATATGGACCGCCTTCTCAACAATTGTATCCGGTTCATATTTTGTCTACGTAAGTATGACCACATCTCCTCCTACCGATCTGAGCTCAAATGGCTACCTGTTCCTCTACGGCGTAATGCCAGAATTCTCACTACACTTTTTACCATCTTAAACGACCCTAATGCTCCTTCCTATCTGAAATCTCAGTATACTCTTCTAAGTTCAACTCACGTAAGGCAACTTCGTTCCTCCAACAAACTTCTTCTTTCTACCCCATCCCACCGCACTGGTTTCCTCTCTAACTCATTCCTTCTCCAATCTATTCGCCTTTGGAACGCTCTTCCTGAGAACATTAGGCAGGCTCCCAGCAAGTTTGTGTTCAAATACTCTGTGCGCAAGCATTTCCTTGAACATATCTCGTCGTCTTGATCTCTCCTAAACCTTCTCGTTATCCACCGTATATTATGTATATGCATGTATTTATGTAGGTATATATATATATTTTGTATTAATTTATATTATAATATTTTATGTATTGTATTAGATTTTATTTTATTGTATTTGTACTATTTTGCACCGCCTACTTAAATTCTCTGTTTTGTTTAATTTTCTGGTTAGCTGGAAGAGAATGCCACATGGCATTAAGCTCGCCTGTTGTACCACTGTATTTTTATGTGTGCAATAAAGATTTTAAATAAATAAATAAATAANTCTGTTTTGTTTAATTTTCTGGTTAGCTGGAAGAGAATGCCACATGGCATTAAGCTCGCCTGTTGTACCACTGTATTTTTATGTGTGCAATAAAGATTTAAAAAAAATAAAATAAATAAATAAATATAGAAATAGGTAATTATAACGCTATTTAACGGAAGAAAGTAGAAAGATCTAGAAAAAAATATATTAGATCTAAATTATCGATCAACAGGTGAACCTGACCCTGAAAATGCTTTATTTTTGAAACATTTTAAAATGTTCCATTAGTATTTTCACAAAAGCGATAGGGAATTTTCACCCTGTATCAGCATGTCAGGATGGCCGAGCGGTCTAAGGCGCTGCGTTCAGGTCGCAGTCCACTTCTGTGGGCGTGGGTTCGAATCCCACTTCTGACAAATACTTTTTGTCTTGAAATCAATATTAAGTATCACTAATTATTCGATATGTAGGGTAAGACCAAAATATATTTTTTTCATGTTAATTATACAGTTGTTTTAGGCTGGGTTGCATTACTTTAACTTTGACAAACGTCAAAAATCTGTCAAACTCCATACATAAAGCACCGGTTATCGTCATAGTTACCGTTAAAGTTAGGTGGTGCAACTCAGCCTTATGCCCGTTTTCACCATCAATCCCTAATTTTTAAATGACACTTATGAAAACAAAATTCATAATATAATGTGTTACCATAGTAGTCATTTAAAAATTGGGGTTTGATGGTGAAAACGGGCATTAATCTCACTATACATTAATTAAAGAGCTTGTAGCTAAAAATGTATAGCTGTATCTAATACAGCCAAAACATATAAATTACATAACTTTTGTTTGATTATTTTTAACAAAAGTAAATTATAACAAAAAGGTTTTAATTAAAAAATATTACGAAAATACGTAGCTCCTTAAAAATACTGGCTGATAAGAAACAATACCGGAAAAATAGAAATAAAAGTGTAAGATAAATGACGATCTACAAATTCAAATTGACAAATCTTTATTAAAAGACGAATTTTGTTTCAATAATTTATTACATAACAAAATCAGATTGAAATAATTAAAATAACGTGTGATTGAAAAACTGTTTAATTTTACATTTTATTAATGTGTCAATTTAATGACTTATTTAATTAACATAGGTAATTACCAAACGGGAGATATTTATTAATTGTATTAATTACATCGAATCAATAGTTATAGTTATTGTCTCTTAACAAACAGTACATTAATTGCCAGTCATAATAATTAAGATAATGAACAAATTAACTGTTTTTGTTTACAGACAGCAGTATGTGTTGAAGCGTACAATGTGACATTACTTCGGTAATGTAATTTCCTCCACCAATACCACCATGGATCCGCAGGAGTTGGTGCCTTTAGAAGGCAGGTATTTTTACTTTTATAATGTTCTGCGACATAATAATATAAAGTAGATAAAGTATATTTTACAGCTGTAATATTTACGATATTCTACCAAGCATTACCTGCTTACCGCGACTTTGCCATTTTTACGTTTTCCCGAGCAATTTTGTCACTATAAAAACTTTCCTTGTGTTTTTATTATAAATATTCGAAAAAAATTGCCGGCGTGAATCTTGACGATTGCATCAGGCGAGATGGTAATTTCTATCGAATCCCACGTTCTAGCAACATTTTTAATAGGATCGATGGATATAAGTTTTGTGGGATCGAAAATATAAAATGAGACTCGAAGTGGGATCTAACTAAAATAAATTATTAACTTGTTTGTGACCTTAGGCCTTAGAATGCTGTAACAATATTAATTTTCTGGTTAGCTGGAAGAGAATGCCACAAGGCATTAAGCTCGCCTGTTGTACCACTGTTTTTTATGTGTGCAATAAAGATTTTAAATAAATAAATAAATAAATATGAACATAATATGCGCACATTGCACCAATATAGGCCGATTCTTCATACAAATTAGAAGCCGACCCAACTTTCTGCCGACTCAAAGTCCGTCTGCAGTTGCGGGGCGTCTTGTAACCTTAACCGTAACTTAACTTGTAACCTTAGTTTTTAAAACGCTGTAAGAACAAAGCTCTACAATTTTGCATTGCTCTTTCAGCAAGCAACGCCTCCCGCCGCCGCGTCACCCGCCAATGCACGCATCTCGCCTCCCGCGCTTGCTACCAAGGGCCCCTGAGGATATGCCGGCTGTTAGCTCTCCTCATACTGCTGCCAAGCGTGTTCATCTTCGTGCCTTTATACATGAGGTAAGAAGCTAGAGATGTCCACCCACAAGGTGGACAGATGACCTCATATAGCGAAGCAGGAAGGCGCTGGACGCAGGCCGCTACCAACCGGGCAACATGGAAAGCATTGGTGGAAGCCTAATATGTTCAGCAGTGGACATCCTAAATGAAGATGATGATGACGCTAGGGTTTGAAGTCTCCCACGCTTGCTACCAAGGGCCCCTGAGGATATGCCGGCTGTTACTTCTCCTCATACTGCTGCCAAACGTGTTCATCTTCGTACCTCTGTACATGAGGTAAGTGGATTAGCGAAGCTGAAGTGGCAATGGGGAGGGCACATAGTACGCAGAACTGACGGCCTATGGGGCAGCAAGGTTCTGGAATGGAGGCCGCGTACCGGAAAACGCAGCGTGGGACGACTACCTACAAGAAGGTGGATTGACGGTCATCATAAAGGTAGCAGGAAGGCGCTGGACGCAGGCCGCTACCAACCGGGCAACATGGAAAGCATTGGGAGAGGCCTATGTTCAGCAATGGACATCCTAAATGATGATGATGATGACGCAAGGGTTCGAAGTCTCCAAGGCCCCTGAGGATATGCCGGCTGTTAGCTCTCCTCATACTGCTGCCAAGCGTGTTCATCTTCGTGCCCTTATACATGAGGTAAGAAGCGGATGTCCACTCACAAGGTGGACAGACGACCTCATAAAGGTAGCAGGAAGATGCTGGACGCAGGCCGCTACCAACCAGCCAATCTGGAAATCATTGGGGGAGGCCTATGTTCAGCAGTGGACTTCCTGTAGCTGAAATGATGACGATGACGCTAGAGTCGGTCAATAATAATAATATGTTCTTTACCGCATGTATAATATTTTTATTATCAGATGACTTGCGCCTATTTTATATCTCTGTCACAATCTCGACACTAAATTTCTATACCCACATAATAAAAGCCTATGTAAAAACGGTGCCGAATACTTTAAACTTGGTGTTTTTTTGCGAGAGAAATGAGGAGATCCGTAAACGAACCAAAGTCGCTGACATAGCCCGACGGATTAGCAAGCTGAAGTGGCAATGGGCAGGGCACATAGTACGCAGAACTGACGGCCGATGGGGCAGAAAGGTTCTGAAATGGAGGCCGCGTACCGGAAAACGCAGCGTGGGACGTCCACCTACAAGGTGGACCGACGACATCGTAAAGGTCGCAGGGAAGCGCTGGACGCAGGCCGCTACCAACGAGGCAACATGGAAAGCATTGGTGGAAGCCTAATATGTTCAGTAGTGGACATCCTAAATGATGATGATGATGACGCTAGGCTTTGAAATCTCCCACGCTTGCTACCAAGGGCCCCTGAGGATATGCCGGCTGTTAGCTCTCCTCATACTGCTGCCAAGCGTGTTCATCTTCGTGCCTTTATACATGAGGTAAGAAGCTAGTCTTCTTCTTGTGATGTTGACAACAAACGTACACAGCGTCAGCCCAAAACTCCGCCAAAAGAATGGCTTTGTCGATAGCCTTCATTAAATATTCCCGCGTGCAGTTGTTTGGGCACGCAGGGCAGACATTATGTTTCTTCTTTCTACTGGGGAACAAAATCAGAGAAGCTAGACTTATAGGACGTCGTCCACTCAAAAGTTCGCAGGAAGGCTCTAGATGCAGGCCGTAACCAACCAGCCAATCTGGAATTCATTGGGGGAGGCCTATGTTCAGCAGTGTACGTCCTGTGGCTGAAATGATGACGATGTCAGTCGGAACGATCTTCTAGGCGTATTACAAAGAGTAAAACAATGTCAAGTAATTTAATCCTTATTAGGTATGATGACCCAAACTAAAAATATAGAAAGTTGGGGAAAAAGNCGTAGTTTTTTACGGCCTCTGGTCTGATGCCGTTGGGAGTATCTGAAGAAGAAAAGGATATTTAAAATTTTGTTTTTCAGCAACCAAAATTTAGGTATCAATTTAATTTAATCCCAACTAATATCCCAACTAATATTATAAATGCGAAAGTAACTCTGTCTGTCTGTCTGTCTGTCTGTCTGTCTGTCTGTCTGTCTGTCTGTCTGTCTGTTACGCTTTCCCGCTTAAGCCTCGCAACCGATTTTGATAAAATTTGGCATAGAGATAGTTTGAGTCCCGGGAAAGAACATAGGATAGTTTTTATCCCGGTTTTTGAAACAGGGACGCGCGCGATAAAGTTTTTCTGTGACACACAAAATTCCACGCGGGCGAAGCCGCGGGCGGAGAGCTAGTNTTTAAAACTGTCAAAATGAGACTCTCCCATAGATTTTGTATGGCAATACTAGCCAGTGACGTCACTATTTTGTCAACTCAATTAAACTACTTTTTTAAATTACAAGGCAACCAAAAATCCTAATTTATATGTAATTTAAAATTAATCAAGTTTTTAAGGCCAGAATGAAGGATCTTTTTAAAAAAGTTGTGTTTTAGAATTATTTGGGAATGGTGTCAAATAACCCAATTTTATTGGACTAAATAGTAATCTATTATACTTACAACTATGTTACATTTGTTGTTGTGTTTTGTGATGACTACCATTGATTAGTTGACATTACAATGATTATTTTGAGGTCAATGGTAATCGGTTTTTTATCGTCTGTATCATCTGTATGGTATCTTCTCTCAATTAGTTCAAAAACTGATATGGATATAAATTATTCTGTTAAATAAATGAATGATTTATATAGATTTATCTTGTTCATAGCCTTGGATGACGGACATCATACAAAATTACAATACTTTTTATAATGTTTAGACACAGATTTTTTTACGGTTTTTCGGAACTTAATTAATTAATTTATATTCGTCAGTAAAATGTTTAATGTTTAAGGGCCTATTTCACGACTTGTTGGATAAAGTACCTGATAGTCTATCTGTCAGATAAATAAAAAAAAAATAGAAAAATAGATGTAGCAGATAAAATCACTTTCTTTCGTTAAATATGAAATAGTAATTATAACGCTATTTAACCCGGCGAGGATGTGGTACAAAAGGTATAAGTCGCGGATGTGGAGGGTCTTTATGACCCTGTATTTGATTTGTAGATTTTTCCCTACTAAGCAGTAATTAAAGTAATATTTATCAAGAAACTTAAGTAATAGTTAGTAGTTAATGGATTTAAATTGAAAAATTGACCAATAGCCATATACACGTTTAAATAATAGAGATATTCTAAAAGTCTAAAAAATTTTGAAATTTGCGATATCTTGTAACAAAAAAGCAATTTCATCATATTACATAATATTAATTAGTATTTTCTGGTAATCAATATCTTATATCATTAGTTATTCATAATTAGTCTTCTAAGGTACAAATTAGCTCATTCTTAACAAAATAGAGCAATGTGATTTTGGGAAAATTTCGTCATTTTTACGTTTTCGCACGTCTATTTTCTTTCACCAGCGATGGTTGATTCACTAGTGGCGTGAAAAGGGTAGCAGAGTTCAATTACTCCAGCTACTGAGACTTTCAACAGCACACGGCTACGGGATAAATAACTGTACACAAAAATATGAAGCACGGGGTCAAATTGACCCCTCCACATCCTCGCCGGGTTAACGGAAGAACGTAGAAAGATCTAGAAAAAAATATGTTAGATCTAAATTATCGATCAACAGGTGAAACTGACCCTGAAAATGCTTTATTTATGAAACATTTTAAAATGTTCCATTAGTGTTTTCAGGTAAGCAATAGGGAATTTTCACCCTGTCTCAACATGTCAGGATGGCCGAGCGGTCTAAGGCGCTGCGTTCAGGTCGCAGTCCACTTCTGTGGGCGTGGGTTCGAATCCCACTTCTGACAAATACTTTGAATTTAAATTGATAATAAATTGACTCGAAATGAAAATTAAGTATTTCTAATTATTTGATTAGTAGGGTAAACCAAAATTAACCAAAACTATTATTTTTTTCATGTTAATTATACAGTTGTTTTAGGCTGGGTTGCATCTTACTTTGACAAACGTCAACTCCATACATAAAGCACCGGTTATCGTCATAGTTACCGTTATAGTTAGGTGGTGCAACTCAGCCTTAAGCCCGTTTTCACCATCAATCCCTAATTTTGAAATGACACTTATGAAAACAAAATTCATATAATGTGTTACCATAGCACTTAAAAATTGGGGTTTGATGGTGAAAACGGGCATTAATATCACTATACATTAGTTAAAGAGCTTGTAGCTAAAAATGTATAGCTGTATCTAATACAGCCAAAACATATAAATTACATAACTTTTGTTTGATTATTTTTAACAAAAGAAAATTATAACAAAAAGGTTTTAATTTAAAAATATTACGAAAATACGTAGCTCCTTTAAAATACTGGCTGATAAGAAACAATACCGGAAAAAATAATAGAAATAAAAGTGTAAGATAAATGACGATCAACCAATTCAAACTTTGATAAACGTTTTAAAAAAAAACGCATTTTGTTTCTTTAATGTTACAAAACAAAATCAGATTGAAATTATTTAACTTGTGACTGTCAAACTTTTCTAAATTCTCACAGTATGAATGTAACAATTTAATGACTAATTGAATTAACTTAGGTAATTACCAAACGGGAGATATTTATTAATCTGTATTAATTACATCGAATCTATAGTTATTGTCTCTTAACAAACAGTACATTAATTGTCAGTCATAATAATTAAGATAATGAACAAATTAAGTTAACTGTTTTTGTTTACAGACAGCAGTATGTGTTGAGGCGTACGATGTGACATTACTCCTGTAATGTGACTGCCACCATGGATCCGCAGGAGTTGGTGCCTTTAGAAGGCAGGTATTTACACTATTTTATTATTTAATGGCATATGAAGTCAATTAATCATCTTATGTACCTAGTTGTAATTGGTTAGCTATAATTGGGATGCGTATAAACGTTCTGTAAAGGTCTTACATTATAAAAAAATATGTGAATAAGAGTCATTTTGCCTGTGTCAAATTGGAAAGAGTTGTAATGATCTTGCAGTGGGCTTTACATGACTTATGATTATGAATATGTAACCCATCGAGATATAATTATATCGATAAGTCATGTAGAGTCAAGTACATACGAACTAGATTAATTTCGCGATCGAAACACGTCATGCTCTCTTCAACTGAATTGTGAACTGCAATCCGTACACCTTACTTTAGTGACACTTACCATCAGGTAAGATACAGGCTAAGAGCTTCCTCGTTGTGGATAAAAAAAAACTGGCATACAAATTATTCTCTGTAAGTGATCTAAATACTTGGCCTTAATGCTGTATCGAACTTTAGTGTAGTTGATTCTTTCCAAAATGGAGCAAGAATTTTGCTTAGAATACCCTATTGTCATCGAGTTACCACGAGGGGATAACGGGATCATTAGTAATTTGTAAAAAAAACTTGTAACCTTAGTTCTCACTACGCAATAATTACATAGGCTCTACAATGTCGCACTTACGTTTCAGCAAGCAACGCCTCCCGCCGCCGCGTCAACCGCCAATGCACGCACCTCGCCTCTCGCGCTTGCTACCAAGGGCCCCTGAGGATATGCCGGTTGCTAGCTCTCCTCATACTGCTGCCAAGCGTGTTCATCTTCGTGCCTTTATACATGAGGTAAGAAGCTAGAGATGTCCACCCACAAGGTGGACAGATGACCTCATATAGCGAAGCAGGACGCTGGACGCAGGCCGCTACCAACCGGGCAACATGGAAAGCATTGGAGGAGGCCTATGTTCAGCAATGGACATCCTAAATGATGATGATGATGACGCTAGGGTTTGAAGTCTCCCGCGCTTGCTACCAAGGGCCCCTGAGGATATGCCGGCTGTTACTTCTCCTCATACTGCTGCCAAGCGTGTTCATCTTCGTGCCTTTATACATGAGGTAAGAAGCTAGATTAGGATGTCCACCCACAAGGTGGACAGATGACCTCATATAGCGAAGCAGGACGCTGGACGCAGGCCGCTACCAACCGGGCAACATGGAAAGCATTGGGGGAGGCCTATGTTCAGCAATGGACATCCTAAATGATGATGATGATGACGCAAGGGTTCGAAGTCTCCAAGGGCCCCTGAGGATATGCCGGCTGTTAGCTCTCCTCATACTGCTGCCAAGCGTGTTCATCTTCGTGCCTTTGTACATGAGGTAAGTGGTTTAGCGACGGATTAGCAAGCTGAAGTGGCAATTGGCAGGGCACATAGTACGCAGAACTGACCGCCGATGGGGCAGCAAGGTTCTGGAGTGGTGGCCGCGTACCGGAAAACGCAGCGTAGGACGTCGACTCACGAGGTGGACCGATGACATCATAAAGGTAGCAGGAAGGCGCTGGTCGCAGGCCGCTACCAACGAGGCAACATGGAAAGCATTGGGGGAGGCCTATGTTCAGCAATGGACATCCTAAATAATGATGATGATGACGCTAGGCTTTGAAATCTCCCACGCTTGCTACCAAGGGCCCCTGAGGATATGCCGGCTGTTAGCTCTCCTCATACTGCTGCCAAGCGTGTTCATCTTCGTGCCTTTATACATGAGGTAAGAAGCTAGAGTCTTCTTCTTGTCGTGTCGACAACAAACCTACACAGCGTCAGCCCAAAACTCCGCCAAAAGAATGGCTTTGTCGATAGCCTTCATTAAATCTTCCCGCGTGCAGTTGTTTGGGCACGCAGGGCAGACATTATGCTTCTTCTTTCTACTGGGGAACAAAATCAGAGAAGCTAGAGTTATAGGACGTCGTCCACTCAAAAGGTCGCAGGAAGGCTCTAGATGCAGGCCGTAACCAACCAGCCAATCTGGAATTCATTGGGGGAGGCCTATGTTCAGCAGTGGACATCCTAAATGAAGATGATGATGACGCTAGGGTTTGAAATCTCCCACGCTTGCTACCAAGGGCCCCTGAGGATATGCCGGCTGCTGCTGCTCCTCATACTGCTGCCAAGCGTGTTCATCTTCGTGCCTCTGTACATGAGGTAATTGGAGGAATATTCTAGAGAGGCTAGAGGCTGTTCTAAGTTCGCCACCACCATCTGACCTAAATCTGTCACCATAACAACAATGTTAACAGCACTGTTGTGTTCTGGCATTTATAGGTAAGATAGCCAGTTCCACTATGGTTGAGGGTTCCAGGTGAAGCTCGCTTCCACCTTCGGCCTGATCATCACTTACCATCAGGTGAGATACAGGGCAAGAGCTTGGTCGTTGTGGGTTAAAAAAAAATAGGCCGTCCACGAAAAAGGTGGCAGGAAGGCGCTGGATAAAGGCCGATCTGGAAATCATTGGGGGAGGTCTATGTTTAGCCACTGTGGCTGAATTGATGATGCTATCAGTCAGAAAAATCTCCTAGGCATACTATCAAGGCCGCCTGAGGATATGCCGGCTGTTAGCTCTCCTCATACTGCTACCAAGCGTGTTCATCTTCGTGCCTTTATACATGAGGTAAGAAGCTAGAGTAGGATGTCCACCCACAAGGTGGACAGACGACCTCATAAAGGTAGCAGGAAGGCGCTGGACGCAGGCCGCTACCAACCGGGCAACATGGAAAGCATTGGTGGAAGCCTAATATGTTCAGTAGTGGACATCCTAAATGATGATGATGATGACGCTAGGCTTTGAAATCTCCCACGCTTGCTACCAAGGGCCCCTTTCTTTATATCCTTATTAGGTATGATGATGACCCAAACTAAAAATATAGAAAGTTACGGAAAAAGTTAACCACTAAAATGTTATCCTATTTGTTCTTTAGTCTTTACAGCCCATAATATATTTTATTATCAGATGACTTGCATTTATGATTTATCTCTCTCACAATCTTGATACTAAATTTCTTTATACACATAATAAATTCCTATGTAGAAACCTTAAACGGTGCCAAATACTTTAAAAAACATGTACAATTTTATTCCAAAGGTGAATAACATTTTTGTTTCTACAAGGTCAGCACAAAACCCTGAAATAATGTATTGAATTCAGCACTTTTTGCTAAGAATGCTAAGCTATATGACGAATGCTAACGAATTTTATCAGACGAATAAAGGAGTAAAAGCAGTTCGAATAACAATTTTGACTTCCCTCCGTAGCAAAGCTGGAGACAGAAGGTATAAAAAGTACCGTATTTGCGGGTTACTTTAGCCAAAGGGGNACTAGGGGGCAACTTTGGCTCAACAAAAAAAAAATTGATAGTAATATATATAGTTCCAACTAACTTAAAATTAATAGACGTTATCGACATTTCCATGAAGATAATTATGGGAAATATTTTTTTTTGTTTTGAGCCAAAGTTGACCTCTAGGCTAAAGTAACCCGCAAATACGGTATTGGGGAAGCTTATGTCAGAGTAAATACAAATGAGTAGGTCATCTTCATAGAAACGCACCGAGCGCGGTTTGTATGTGAGCACGCCAATACGTATGCGGCGCGCACCCACACACTGTCAAAATTTTGCGTGGATTATGTACAACAATTGACTTTAATGTTTCTTTTTGTCACTTCCAGGTACCGGGTGTTCTCCGGCCAAATGTACCCGATGAGCATGAGCGACATGCGGCTCATAGATAGCAGGATCTCCACGACTTGGTGCCAGGTAGGTGTGGCTTAACCCTTACAATGCCGGCACTATTTATTTAATTTATTTATTTCAACAGCTTCACCCAATGATTTCTATAATAACCGATTGGTAGCGGCCATCCAGCACCTGGTCTTCCTGCCTTTGAATTGTCTTATGGCTGAAATGATGATGATGATGTCAACTGATTTATATGTATCAGTTCAATGAATAGCATCTTATTTTATTTTATTACTTTAAGCGGTTTCGAATATACGGTCCGGCTCCGGAGTAGTCCGTTACCCGATTTCTGTAGATTTTTTAGAGAGGTATTTTAACTGATACATGATTTACATAAAATATGAATAGTCATACATTTTTATAGCAAAACGCACAACTACTTTAAGGTACAGATAAACACTGCTTACATATAATGTAGAGACGTTAATACCAAATAATTATATGCCAAGCTACATCTGAATCGTTTACTACAATAGCACATTCAACATAATTTAAATAATGTGCAAAAGAAATCGGGTCACCAACTAGAGATTAACGTGAACATGCGAACACAAACATGAACCGATATTTTTGGCTCAATGTCAATTACCAATGATTAGCTAATGCTGATTTTCCTGTTAATTCGTTAGTATTTTCTTCAGACGTATGGTGTATTAAAGTCTGACATAACCTGATATTTCATGGCTAAAGAAGACTTTGTTGTGACAGCATTGTTGTATTCCGGCAGTTAGATGTAAGATAGCCAGTTCCTCCGTGGTTGAGGATTCCGGGTGAAGCTCGCTTCCACCTTCGGCCTGATCGTCACTTACCATCAGGTGAGATACAGGCCAAGAGCTTCCTCGTTGTGGATAATAAAAAAAAATAAAAAAAAGATATTCAAGGATAAAACAAATTCAAATAGTTTATTCAGTACATAGGCTCTTTCTAGAGCACTTAATACACGTTCCAAATATAGCTTGCCTACCAAAAATAAGAAAAGACTATGAAAACCATACTAATATTATACTGCTAAAGTATTTCTGTCTGTCTGTTAGCTTTTCAGGCTTAAGCCACTGAAGTAATTTAGTTGAAAGATATAGAGATATTATGAGACCCACATATTAGATTGTAAACGGATTAACAATCGTTATTTAAGCCTTTATATGACAGACTGAAATCGGAGCGGGTGAAGACGCGGGCAAAAGCTAGCGATGAATTAACCTAAATTACGAGTAATGCGATAAATCCGAGACAGTCTGTATAATCCAGACTCTTCATCTTTCTTCCATTCCATGTCAACTTTCATTCCTGCCATTGCAATCCCTGTAGACACAGGATAAAAAATAAAAATCCATACAAGCAAAACCGCGAGTCCAAGCCTCTCATCTTAAGTCACTTTATATGTATAAATACTTTATTATATATCCCGTTTTAGATGTTTATTGTTTTATCTTTATTTATATTAGGCTATGACAGCGATACGCACAGATACCTTATCGGTCGTCGGTTCACTGGGGAAACGATAAAAATGTGTTTGATGTTATATTTTATCGCCTATTCACAAGTTCTGTATTTACGGGATGCGTGTAATTGCGTTAAATATGTTTCAATGCATTGTATATGGTTATGCGCTGATAAGACATTAATAAAGCATTATATTAGTCTACAGCATTGGGCTACACATTTCTGTTGTAAAATATAATACAACTGCTTAAGATGCTACAGCGTTTAGCCTAATTTAACCAGTAATAATAAAAAATATTCTTTATTTTACAGTTGTAGATACCGCTAGATGTTTACATCAAATTTTACTATGTAATATTATGTAAAAGTTTGTGAAAAAGGATTAGAAACATACTGATAAGATTTTAAATATGTAGTTTAAGATAAAAAAAAAACCAATAGGATTCATTCTAAATAACTTGCAAAAAAATAAATACAGTTTGCCTGAGGTGGAATTCGAAGTACGATCTTTCGGATGCCAGGCGACTACGACTGGATTCAATCCTTCGTGTTTCGAATTCGGATGAGGAATACATGCTTAGCACGAGGAGTTACGGGACTTCACATTACTAATATCCTATTTGTTAAAACTATTTTGGCAAATGTGAAGTTTAATTGGTAACTCTATAATTATGTGTTATAGAATGCTGTTTGTTTTCCTAACAATAAAATAAATAAATAAAAATATAGTTAACTAAAACTTATCTATTCTCAGAGCCAAGTGGTAAAGTCCAATACGACCTTCAACGCGTTCGTAGTGCCTGGCCAGCCGGAACTGCTGGACGAGCTGGTGCCAGTCTCCATGACGAGGCAGTTAGAGCTACAGGACGATATGAAGGAGTACTGGGGCTTTTATCTGCTGAAAGGGTCTACGGTCACGGTTTCCACTTGCGTAAGGTATGTTGATAGGAATAATTTGAGTAAATAGTGATGTGAACTATGTGGACTCCCAAATTGTCTCGTAGTAGTGGAAGGGTTAATCGGGACGTGTAAAGTGCTCTTTACACGGGCAGGCCTCCTACTACTAGGTGGATCTGGTGAAGGTTGCGGGAAGAAGTTATATTTACTTTCTTTTATTTACCTGTGTATCTATCAATTTGATAAACATCAAATTCATAGTGCTTAGTATATTACCATCATAATCAGAACTTATTTTATTTATTTAAAGCACACAAAAAAAATCAGCACAAAAGGTGAACTTAATTCTGGTTGGAAATCTCTACCAGTTATGGTCGAAAAGGAATGAACAATTTCAAGATGTGTACTATAACAATCCAGCTGTAAATCCTGGTTTTAAGGAAGTCGCGATAACCCTAAACTCTCAATTGAAATCCCTTTTTCCAATTCCCCAGCTGGCCAGGAGCCTCCCTCATCATGATCAAAGGCTACAAGCACCTGCAAGGCTGCGCCTACATCGGTGACGACTCCTCCGAAGAACTAGACGAATTACTGGAAGCCAACAAAAAGGGGCTGCTGTCCAACGACCTGCTCAAGCAGAAGATTCTGGAGCTGAAGAAGGTGGACGGGAAGGCTAATGATCCAGGTATGAAACTGCATTTTAGGAGATGGTTATTAGGGTTTTTTAAACGGGACTATTCCCACCTCTCGTTCCCACCGCTGCAAATCCTGTGTAGCCAGGATCTACAGCTTGACCGCCAATAACCCAACCAGTGGAAGTCAAGTTTGTCCCGGGGGAAAGTTAAACTGTCATTGGACCCGCAACGAAATTAATCAGAAGAACATAGGAGGAGTTCTAAATTAGGTTTTTCCCTCCATTGCAAAGCGGATGACAGGTGACAAACAAAGGTTTAAAACCTTTAAGAAAAGATTATGCACCACGGACAATAAATATCAATTAAGGGGGCCTATCTTATGAGGCCTTACCTGCCAATAATATAAAGGAGATGGATGCTAGGCTTGGTGGTTTGGGATTAGTAGCATAGATGTGGTTTTGGGTTTGAATCCTAGAGGATTAAATGATAGGTAGAGCGATGAGCATGAGTACGCACAGGGTCTCCCTGTGTACTGTGAGACCTCATAGTAATGTTTGTGTATACCGGCGTTTGTTCCTTACTTGACTGTTCCGCTATACATATGTTCCATTTAAGACTTGAACCCTAGACCTAGGGTCTTAACTCTTTAATCACTAAATTACGAACTGAGGTGAATGTAATATCACAGAATAATAGTAAGTATGGTAATATGTCGAAATGTCTACCAATTTGATCTTGACTTCATTTATTATCATTTACTAATCAATACGCCGAAGGATGAATAATAAAATGTGAGCCAGACATTTTATATTTTGTAGCGATAAGTAACTTATCGTAGGCAGACCTAAATAAGTAAAATATTAAATTTATTTATTTACTTCAAATACAAGATCCCACAAGGTGGACCGACGTCATAGTAAAAGTAGCAGGAAGGCGCTGGACGCAGGCCGCTACCAACCGGGCAACATGGAAAGCATTGGGGGAGGCCTATGTTCAGCAGTGGACGTCCTATGGCTGAGATGATGATGAAATACAAAATAGTCAAACAACCATTTATGAAAATACACTTTTCAAAAATGCCCAAAGCAGGATCAAATCTGATACCTAACTCATAGTGTCACTATGCCATCGGGTGTCGATTGTTTCTATGAGGAAAATAATATATTATCCAATCTCTCTCGACAATCATTATCAGAGTATTGGCACACGATTATATGCCTAATCAGCAGATGGTCTGATATTATGATAAGCCTATATTGCCGTTTAGAATAAAAGCATTTGTATTAGATACAGGGTGTAAGGAAAAGTTTATAGTTTCATCCACTACCGCCAATTCTTCTCAGCACGAGCCATTATGTTGTCCCAAAGTGGTGGTAGGGCAAGCTATATTAGGACGTGTATAAGTGCCCTGTTAGACCTACCTACTAATAAAGAATTTAAATTTAATACAACCTTATGTCAACACACTCACAGGATTAAATTACTTTCCTCCGGGACAAACTGGATGAACTTTTTTGCCGGTCAAGTTGTAGATCCTGGCTACACAGGAGTTGCAGCGTTGGGATTGAGAGATGGGAATAGTCCCGTCTCCTAATATTCTAGTTTTAGTTCATGTACTAATTTTCATTCATGTCATTATTCATGTTTTTACTTACTTACGAGTACGCCCTGTATATTATAAAGATATGTTATCAACATTTTTGCCTACCTTTTATCTCTTTTCTAATCTATCACTATTAATATCACATTAAAACTTTCCATAGGCTCCAGAATGTCTGAAACGTGATATTAAAGCATAAAATATGTATTTTTAAGCTAACCGATATAATAATTGTAAAGATTACCTACTTATGTTTAGTGTTGATGATACTGAGAACCAACCAATTTGCGATAAGTTTTCTAAAGCCTGGTCCGTGAGCACGTAGAATCCCGTCCAATGACCCCAAGCTACCCATCCCTATCGCTCGCGCGTAATTATATTGCTGTCGCGCTCGCACACTCACTGTGGGCGCGCGTCGCACAGTCGCGACAGCAACATAATTATTCGCGAGCGATAGCGATGGGTAGCTTGGGGTCATTGGACGGGATTCTACGTGCTCACGGACCAGNCAAAGTAATAAAAACCACCTTTTATAAGGGCATTTTTTGGAGAAATTTATCAAATAACCAAAAAAACACGAATTTTTAAGCAGATTTTTTTCAAAAAGTATAGTTTTTTATTATTTGTTGGCATTTTCTGAGTATTTTATGTATTTTTTTAGTATTGTCTGTTATTTAGCATTATTACTGTTTTTATTTTATCAGGATATACCTCTTAGTTTAAAAGTTATTACGTTTTCTTTACAATAAGTACTTGAAAGGAAAAAAAATCTATAAATTTTTTTAAAAAAATCTCAAAAAAAATTTGACCACTTTTTTGTCGATAAAAATAGGTCTAGTTTCATCTATTTTCATATGTACACTTTAACGTGACTCACACTGTATTTAAACCATGTTCTACATTATAAGCGTAGGAACCATTTAGAGAAATGACATGAACACAGTCATGTTTCAATGGGATTTCTACCAGTTAAGTTGTAGTGTTGTCGCATAATCGATCACGGATCGATTATTATTCGATATTGCCAAATAACGATTTATCAATTAACAATTCGATTAATCGATTTCATTGATTACCATCTTCACTATCATTTGATTGTTAATTCAATTCCTTATTTTCAGCAATATAATCGATTATTGCAATCGAATAATCGATTATGATTTATTCGGTATACATACTTACTAAATCGATAGAATCGATATTAAGATATGATACAATACCTACTCTTAATATGATCGATAAAAGCAATCTAATTGACCTAATACTATTTTTATTACCCTAATGTGATGTGGAATACTATGGAAACTTTGCATATTCAACGACCTCTATCTCCGAATCCCCGCGTATTTCAGGATTGTTGTCATACTATGAAATGAAGTACTAGTATTAAGCTTTAATTTAGTATACTTTTTGTTTCTGTTGGTTTAACGCCCAATATGCCCATCATCCTTTTCTTTTTGTCCTATTACATTATTAAAGTTACTTAAGTTTACTAATTAGTCATCAGTATAACCTAAACATTGTAGCTTTAAAAATACCAAGAGTTACTTCATCACAATTATCAGCTGTAAGAACTAGAGTTAACTAAACTAACTCCCTAATCAAATCCCTTTTCCAATTCCCCAGCTGGCCAGGAGCCTCCCTCATCATGATCAAAGGCTACAAGCACCTGCAAGGCTGCGCCTACATCGGTGACGACTCCTCCGAAGAACTAGACGAATTACTGGAAGCCAACAAAAAGGGGCTGCTGTCCAACGACCTGCTCAAGCAGAAGATTCTGGAGCTGAAGAAGGTGGACGGGAAGGCTAATGATCCAGGTATGGGACTGCATTTTAGGAGATGGTTATTAGGGTTTTTTAAACGGGACTATTCCCACCTCTCGTTCCCACCACTGCAACTCCTGTGTAGCCAGGATCTACAGCTTGACCGCCAATAACCCAACCAGTGAAGGTCAAGTTTGTCCCGGGGGAAAGTTAAACTGTCATTGGAGCCGCATCGAAATTAATCAGAAGAACATAGGAGGAGTTCGAAATTAGGTTTTTCCCTCCATTGCAAAGCGGATGACAGATGACAAACAAAGGTTTAAAACTTTTAAGAAAAGATTATGCACCACGGACAATAAATATCAATTAAGGGGGCCTATCTTATAAGCAATTAGCAACTACCTGCCAATAATATAAAGGAGATAGATGCTAGGATTGGTAGTTTGGGATTAGTAGCATAAATGTGGTTTTGAGTTTGAATCCTAGAGGATTAAATGATAGGTAGATTGATGAGCATAAGTACGCACAGGGTGACCCTGTGCGTTCACATGTACTGTGAGACCTCATAGTAATGTTTTTGAATACCGGCGTTAGACTCTTGTTCATTACTTGTCTGTTCCGCTATAAGTCACACTTAAGATTTGAACCCTAGACCTAGGGTCTTAACTCTTTAATCACTAAATTACGAACTGAGGTGGAAATGTAATGTCACAGAATAATAATAAGTATGGTAATATGTCGAAATGTCTACCAATTTGATCTTGACTTCATTTATTATCATTTACTAATCAATACGCCGAAGGATGAATAATAAAATGTGAGCCAGACATTTTATATTTTGTAGCGATAAGTAACTTATCGTAGGCAGACCTAAATCAGTAAAATATTAAATTTATTTATTTACTTAAAATACAAGATCCCACAAGGTGGACCGACGACATCGTAAAAGTAGCAGGAAGGCGCTGGACGCAGGCCGCTACCAACCGGGCAACATGGAAAGCATTGGGGGAGGCCTATGTTCAGCAGTGGACGTCCTATGGCTGAGACGATGATGAAATACAAAATAGTCAAACAGCCATTTACGAAAATACACTTTTCTAAATTGACCCAAGCAGGATCAAATCTGATACCTAACTCATAGTATCACTATGCCATAGGGTGTCAATTGTTTCTATGAGGATATATCATCCAATCTCTCTCGACAACCATTATCAGAGTATTGGCACGCGATTATATGCCTAATCAGCAGATGGTCCGATATATGATAAGCCTATATTGCCGTTTAGAATAAAAGCATTTCTATTAGATACAGGGTGTACGGTAAAGTTTGGTGAAACTTCTTCCACTGTTGCCACTTCCAAGTTGTACCGTTGTCCCGAAGTGGTGGTAGGGCAAGCTTTATAGGGACTTCTATAAGAAATGGATCTACGTAATAAAGAATTTGAATTTAATACCACCTTGTGTGACAACACACTCACAGGCTTACTTTCCTCCGGTACAAACTTGGGCCTCACTGGATGGACTTTATTGCCGGTCAAGCTGTAGATCCTGGCTACACAGGAGTTGCAGCGTTGGGATTGAGAGATGGGAATAGTCCCGTCTCCTGAAACTCCTAATATTCTAGTTTTAGTTCATGTACTAATTTTTCATTCATGTCATTATTCATGTTTTTACTTACGAGTACGTCCTGTATATTATAAAGATCTGTTATCAAAATTTTTGCCTACCTCTTATCTCTTTTATTTCATTAAAACTTTCCATAATATAATATACAGGGTGTCCAAAAGCAATGGATAATCCTGTAACCATCGATAGGCCTCGCCATGGTCTCCCTAACATGAAATTTTGATCCTAGTAAAAATATCACCGTTTTCAAGATTTTAAAGTTTTTGTGCATTTTTAGAAAATTGCCACCTGTGATTACTTTTTCTCATGCCATTTCTACAAAACTAAATGAGGATGTTTTTCAATCGAGTTTTTTTTCTTATCACAAGGGATAGTTGGGCTATAGGATAGGATAGATAATTGTAAAGATTATCTACTTTTGTTTAGTGTTGATGATACTGAGAACCAACCAAATTGGGATAAGTTTTGTAGAAATAAAATATTGTCAATTTCTTTCCAGGGGCGATGAAGAGGCACAAAGCGGGGGTAAGCTTCCACGACCCCAGCCATGGCGTCAATAACATCTCTTCGGATAACGTGCCCACCATCGACGTTACTGACCATGACCCTAAGGTAAATAAATACGTAGATAAATAAGTAGATAAATAAATACCTTGGAAATTTTACACGGTGCTTACTTACTATGTACTCTCAAACAAGGATGGGAGATGGAATAGATGGAACCAGGCAATGATATAAATAAATATCCTTAGACATTTTTAAACTGCGCCATCCCAAACTAAGCAAACCAAAACACTAGATAATCAAATAATGGGCGGGGATCAAACCCGTGACTTCTGGCATAGTAGGTTCACTAGGTTTGGTACGTTAAACATTTTGTTTTTGTAAACATGGCAAACACAGAAGAGTTCTCAGCAACTGCGAAGCTGCGATGAATCGACAATAAAGAATTTGTCCTAATTTATAACACCATAATATTTTCTAGACAAGCTCTTTCCACTGATGGGATAGTCCATTTTCATTTTGCAATACGCTGTTGGCCAGTCTTCCATGAAATACCAAAAATCTATTGCTTTTTTAGCTACTGCCAAAAACATTAAGCCTCTCTATCTAGTTACGAAGTTACACGTCTTTATTTGAGCAATTATACAGTGTGAGTCACGTTAAAGTGTACATATGAAAATAGATGAAACTAGACCTATTTTTATCGACAAAAAAGAGGTCAAAAATTTTTTGAGATTTTTTTAAAAAATTTTATAGAAATTTTTTTCTTCCAATTACTTGTTGTAAAGAAAACGTAATAACTTTTAAACTAAGCGGTATATCCTGATAAAATAAAAACAGTAATAATGCAAAATAACAGGCGATACTAAACTAATACATAAAATACACAAAAAATGCCAACAAATAATAAAATATGATACTTTTTGTAAAAAATCTGCTTAAAAATACGTGTTTTTTTGGTTATTTGATAAATTTCTCCAAAAAATGCCCCTATAACCNGTACCAAGTACCAGTATATTAGTATTGTCATGAATACTCCGAGACGTAGTGTGGGTAGGCCCCCCACTAGGTGGACCGACGATCGGGTGAAGGTCACAGAAAGTACCTGGATGCGGCTAATGCAGGATCGATCTTTTTGAAAATCCTTGGGGGAAGCCTTTGTCCAGCAGTGGACTTCATTTGGCTGAAACGACTCCACGCTCTATGTCAGAAGGCCAAGGATGAGATGCTGAAGCACTACCGCCCGCCGTCCCACCTGATGTCCCTGCCTGGATTGCATTGCCACCGGGACACTAATGTGGACCGGGACGAGAGGAAGTGGCTGTCTTTCAAAGGTACTTCTTAACTACCCTCAAAAGGTAAAGGTAGTGTGGGTAGGCACTAGGTGCACCGACGATCTGGTGAAGGTCGCGGGAGGTGGCAGGATGCGGGCAGCGCAGGATCGGTCTTTGTGAAAATCCTTGGGGAAGACATTTGTACAGCAGTGGACGTCATTTGGCTGAAAAGACTCCACACTCTACGTCAGAAGGTAGGATGAGATGCTGAAGCACTACCGCCCGCCGTCCCACCTGATGTCCCTCCCGGGATTGCATCGCCACCGGGACACTAATGTAGACCGGGACGAGAGGAAGTGGCTGTCTTTCAAAGGTAATGCTTAACTACCCTCAAAAGGTAACGGTATTGTGGGTAGGCCCCCCACTAGGTGGACCGACGATCTGGTGAAGGTCGCGGNTATTTTGTTTTTATTTGAAATCTAACTTGTATTTATCAAAATTACAAATCTAGAGCCATTTTCAGTTTTGTTGTTAACGAAGCGTTGAATGGCGCGCCCGGAGAAGCTTAGTTCAAACGATCATTGCAAACGTTGTGATAGGGATAGAGACATGCAATTTTTGGTTTTACAAAGATAATACGATAGAGAATAATAGAAAGTAATAAAAACCACCGGTTATAGGGGCATTTTTTGGAGAAATTTATCAAATAACCAAAAAAACACGAATTTTTAAGCAGATTTTTTTCAAAAAGTATCATTTTTTATTATTTGTTGGCCTTTTTTGTGTATTTTATGTATTTTTTTAGTATCGCCTGTTATTTTGCATTATTACTGTTTTTATTTTATCAGGATATACCGCTTAGTTTAAAAGTTATTACGTTTTCTTTACAATAAGTAATTGGAAGAAAAAAAATTCTATAAAAAAATAAAAAAAAAACCTCAAAAAATTTTTGACCTCTTTTTTGTCGATAAAAATAGGTCTAGTTTTATCTATTTTCATATGTACACTTTAACGTGACTCACACTGTATTTTATTTACTTATTTATTTACAATCACAACAACAATACACTGTCATCACAGGACATCCCACTGCGACAGCGAAGACAACACATCAACATACACAACTAGAAACCACCTACACACAAACCTACACATAACATATTATTATAACAAATAATGATGCCTTTGTAAATTCACTCAGAGAACAAGAAAAAATATCTATTTTATCTGAAATTAGATTGTTTATTGTGTATCTGATATGTTTATGCATACTTCCGTATAACATAAAAACATATACCACACTTATAATACTTATTGCATTTTCTACCATTACAGGAGCTCCGAGCAATCCTCGAACACTTCCACGCTCTCCGCCAGAAGGCCAAGGATGAGATGTTAAAGCACTACCGTCCGCCGTCCCACCTGATGTCCCTCCCAGGATTGCATCGCCACCGGGACACTAATGTAGACCGGGACGAGAGGAAGTGGCTGTCTTTCAAAGGTACCAACATAAAGTAGCTGAAGCATTACTGTTTGCCATCTAACCTGATGTTCCCCATCTTACTTGATGTCCCCCATTTTACTTGATGTCCCCCATTTTACTTGATGTCCCCCGTCCCACGAGATGTCCCTGCTAGGCCTGCACCGCCACCGGGACACTAATGTAGACAGGGACGAGAGGAAGTGGCTGTCTTTCAAAGGTAATTCTTAACTACCCTCAAAAGGTAAAGGTAGTGTGGGTAGGTGGGATGTTAAAGCACTACCGCCCGCCGTCCCACCTGATGTCCCTCCCAGGATTGCATCGCCACCGGGACACTAATGTAGACCGGGACGAGAGGAAGTGGCTGTCTTTCAAAAGTCTATCTTAACTACCCTCAAAAGGTAAACGTAGTGTGGGTAGGCACTAGGACACTAGGTGGACCGACGATCTGGTGAAGGTCGCAAGAAGTACCTGGATGCGGTTAATGCAGCATCAATCGTCGTGGAAATCTTGGGGGAGCCCTTTGTCCAGCAGTGGACGTCATTTGGCTGAAAAGACTTCACTTACCATCAGGTGAGATACAGGCCAAGAGCTTCCTCATTGTGGATAAAAAAAAAGACTCCACGCTCTACGTCAGAACGCCAAGGATGAGATGCTGAAGCACTACCGCCCGCCGTCCCACTTGATGTCTCTCCCGGGATTGCATCGCCACCGGGACACTAATGTAGACCGGGACGAGAGGAAGTGGCTGTCTTTCAAAGGTACTAACATTAGTATTGTCTTGAGTACACCACAACCTTCGTCAGTAAGCTAAGGATGAGATGCTGAAGCACTACCGGCCGCCGTCCCACCTGATGTCCCTCCCAGGATTGCACCGCCACCGGGACACTAATGTAGACCAGGACGAGAGGAAGTGGCTGTCTTTCAAAGGTATGAAGTACATTAAGGTACATTAGTATTGCCATGAATACTCCGAGACGTAGTATGGGTAGACCCCCCAATAGGTGGACCGACGATCTGGTGAAAGTCGCAGGAAGTACCTGGATGGGGGTATTGCAGGATCGATCGTTGTGAAAATCCTTGGGGAGGCCTTTGTCCAGCAGTGAATGTCATTTGGCTGAAAAGACTCTACGCTCTACGTCAGAAGGAAGGATGAGATGCTGAAGCTAAAGTTCTTAAAAATTCGCGCCTCTTCAAGGCAATAGTGAATGAATAGTCATTAAAAAGTATAGTGCTATCAAATTTTTGCAGAATAACGCTGGTACTTGATTGAAATCACACATGATGTTAAGTGAGATGCAGTCTATGGTATATTTTATATGCTCAGTAAAGCACACAATGCTGATTGAGGTACTCTCGCCTTGAAGAGACTTAAATTGTTTTGGTAGTTTAGTTTAGTTTCGTAGTTTGGTAACTTTTAGAGGTTCATTAGAAAGTCGAAATTGTAAGTGCCAAGGTTCATTGCTATTGCATTTTTTGGCGTCTGTTTTACTTGTTGTATGAATTATGTTTGTCAAGTTATACACCATAGGGACGATTTGCAACAAAAATTTTAAGTGTTATTTGCTGTCATGTACACCAGCAAAAAAGGCGTAAATATAATATAAGTCTATCTTGTTTCAGATCTTGAGAACAAGACGAGTGAAGAAGTGAATGAGAAAATTAAAATTTCTCACGAAGAAATTGCATCTGCTACTGTACCTGAAACTACAACAATTGTGCAAACTACAACTTACAAAGCACACCCAAAGCTTGAAGTCTTAGCAAAAAGTGATAAAAAATTAAAAAGTGATAGTGATAATAAAATATTTAATAGTGATAGTGATAAAGAAAACAAAAGAAGTGATGGTGATGAAAGAACTTATGATAGAGTAAACAAAACTGTTATCAATAGTTTAGAAGCTCCTCGTGTAAAGTTAAGAGAAGGTGAAAAGAATTATACTGCAATGGTGAGTCAATATGTTTTAATTATACTAGAGATTGATAAAACATTTGGCTATTTATAAATTAGTACTGATTAATTGAATAACCTAGATACGGACAGCGCAGTATCGGCCGTTATGAAAATCTTTGGGGGAGGCCAATAGTGACGTCATTTGACTGAAACGAACAAACTACTTTACTACCCTTGCTAGAACTACCTACGCGTATATCAAATTTTATATGCTCGCTCTAATAACTTTTATATTTTGCCCTCATTATGATATTTTTGGAAATGATGACCACTATAGAACAGTCTGGTACCAAACATTGAAAGTCAGAGAAGTTGTATCTAAAAAAATGTGCAATTTTATTGATTAATACATCCACGATGGGCCACCTAGCGGTATAAATTCGTAGGGTGGATCCCCTTTATTAGGATACTTGAAGGAATTAACAGTCCCAGTTACTACCTATCTCGTTTGGTGAAGCTTAAGGATAATGCAGAAAATAAACATTACCTTATCACCACAAACCATTGTCAAGGTTGCACAAACACGCGCCAATTTCATTCATTAGTCTTAATTAGTAGAAGTTTCTGCTAAATGACTTTTATCGTGGTCGTAAACATTCATCTACTCCGATTTATTAACTGCTTTAATTGGAGTTTATAATCAGTCAGTTTTTGCTCTCTTTTTTACTACTCTAGGAAACTAAGTCCACTTATTAAAGCGCTCTGTCACATGATTGATTTGTATTGTCTCGTGTTTAGTTCTTCTTTTTTACCTTGCTCTTTCCTATTTTATTTGGGGTCGGTCCTGGGTCGTCTCACTGTTGACTTGCTCTCCTCTTTCCTCTTTGAGGTTCTTATTTACTACGAACATCTATGTGATTCGGGGTCTTCCTCGTCCTTGGGGATTAGTTACGATTTTTAGCATTACCTTAGTAAAGGTATTACCGCAATGATGAAAGTAAAGCTATTTCATCGATACAGCTACGAAACCCTAAAATGAACATAGCATTATTGTAAACATTAACCAGTTTTGTCTTGTAGTTTCACCCGCGTGAATTTTGGTCTGTCTCAGAAAGATATACCTAGCCTAATTGACTCGGATTAATGTAGCTCGATCTTTGCGAGATCGAATCAGAAATGAGGAAATCCGTAAACGAACTAAAGTCGCTGACATAGCCCGACGGATTAGCAAGCTGAAGTGGCATTGGGCAGGGCACATAGTACGCAGAACTGACGGCCGATGGGGCAGCAAGGTTCTGGAATGGAGGCCGCGTACCAGAAAACATCCGACGACATCGTAAAGGTAGCAGGGAAGCGCTGGACGCAGGCCGCTACCAATCGATCAACCTGGAAAGCATTAGGGGAGGCCTATGTTCAGCAGTTGGACGTCCTATGGCTGAAATAATGATGATGATGACGATGAATGTAGCTCTCTCTCTACGTGTCTAACCTGTTCAGTCGTACTAGAGATTACTTCTTGTAAACATACCAACTGTGCATCTTTATTTAGTGTAAAATCAGCCAGCAAAATCGTGTCACCAGTACACCGGAACGCGAGGTCGCAATCACAGTTGATAACCATCTACATCTGTGTGAGGTTAGCACAAAGCAGGTTCTGTCATCTTCTGGCTAGCAATGATTTAAATCAGAATCATTTAAATGCGGTCTAGCCCTTGAATTATATTAAACTGCTTCCTAGAAAAGGACGGTTCACTATGTCCGATTCGATGAATCCAATATCCTACTCGTACATGCTGTTCTGTCGTGGCAAATGTTTTAAGCATATTAGTCTTTTATGGGATAAAATTGTTTCAATGTCCCTAGATTGTCTGAGGATATAGTGAATTTTATTGCAAAATTATATTGCTATAATCAAGACAAGTTGTTAGTTGTTGCACGACGACAAAATATAGTGAAAATACACACGGAAGCGTAATACATGCAACACATAAGATTACGCTCTAAGCATAACACAGATTTTAATGTTTTTCATCTTGTTTAGTCAAGTTTTTCATCTTCTACAAGTATTTTTTTTATTATTGTTTCTTAAATTCCCATTCCCAGCAATATTTCCCGAACTGTTCGTACATACGATATTGTTCCGAGGAGATATAATCGTTAGATTTAAACCGTCCTTCACGCACTATTACGCATACTATGCATAGCAAATCGATCGTAGTAAATGCCGGCCGCGTTGTATGATGTCATACATCTCATTTGATGTGGTCTATCAATAACATATTCATTAAAACCGTATGTTTGTCATTAAGATATTATGTTTGTTTTAATTGATACCTTTAATTTTTGCCGACTTAAAGACGTAGAGTTAGTTTGAGACCCTGAAAAAACGCAGGAAAGTTTTTATCCCGGTTTTTTAAGAGGAAGTTTTGTGACAGACTGGAAAATATCTTTACTGTGATTCTTAATCCCGAAAATCGGAATTCCGATTCACTCGACTCCGACTGTAAACTTTTTGTTGGCATATAAAATACTTATTGCTTTTTATTTTAACTTACTTTTACTCTATCCCGAAAGAACGCTCGCTATACCGAATATCGTTAGTCCGAACGCACGGAAGATTGAAGGCGCGGAATACCGAATAACTCTAGCTAGGTTTTAGATAAGATAGATGGAGATGCGAGACTTTTTGATAGACCGACCAAACTTTAGGGCGAAGCTTTTTAGAATCAGCGAGATGGACTGACGACCTCATAAAGGGTATCATAGGTAGCAGAGAGGCGCTGGATGCAGGCCGCTACCAACCGGGCGATGTGGAAATCATTGGGGGAGGATGTTCAGCAGTGGATGTTCTGTGGCTGAAATGATGATGATGACGATGAAGGTGTATATGTAATTGTTTTTTTACAGATGATAGAGACAGACGAGCAAACCTCCAAAGAAGTGTTTGAAGATGTCCTCAAGAGGCTACAGGCTTTAGGACCGAAGGGCAAGAGGGTTCTCGTGAAGTTACATGCTACTATGGGGGTGGAGTATAATGAGGTACGTATTCAGTTCATAGTGGTATCCTATACACTGTAAATGTAAATTTTTCATGCTCATTCCTATTATCTACTTTAATATTTAATCAATTCGAGGAAGTTCTTTGCCTGCATCTCACCTGACGGAAAATAATGATCTAGCTGAAGATGGAAGCAAGCTTCACCCAGAATCCTCAGCACGGAGGAACTGGCTATCTTACCTCCAACTTCTGTAAAACAGCAACTGTATTATTGTTGGTTTGGCAACAGACTTAGGAACGATTGTGGTAGCTAAACTGGCGGACTTACAACTCATATCAATCCCAGCAGAAAACTTTGCTCTCTCTGGGAATCGAACCCAGAACCATAGAGGCAGTTATAAACCTTTATAACTCTGAATGTCACACTGTCAGAATGTCATATTGCTTACCCTGATTGTTAAGGTCACGGAAACCATTACCATATAAGAACAAAGTAGCAATGAATGCAATCAGTGCAAGTCAGGCGTGTCAGATGTCCTCGTTCGTCAGGCGCAGTCGGGTCAAGTGCATTGTCTCATAAACATACAATGTGGACTGTGGACACTCCCTCTTTAGGGTTGCCAGTTTTGTGTGGTATGCAATAAAAAGTGTGTATCTATCTCGATATTATACCTAACGAAACCTTGGGGGAGGCCTTTGTCCAGAAGTGGACGTCATTTGGCTGAAAGTAACGAACGAACCTAACGAAAACTTTTTGTTAGAAATCTTCAGAACAGCTCTATGAAGCTTATCGAAAAAGATGTTACTTAGTGCAAGCCCCGTTGAATTATGTGTGAAGTCATAATAATATAGTATTCGTTTGCCTTATAAAGATCATGGCTACAAGAGTTGGTGTAGTGAGAACGAGAGATATAAACTTTAGACTCTATTTGAATCCGAAACTCTTATGAGATTATACAAATCCTTTACGATTTTTTTTATTGTTTTCACTATTGTTGCTTGAATAATATTGTCGACCTTAACTTGAAGTTCAAATTCTTATGTAAATGTAAATGGGCAATTAAACATCATTATTCAAAAGTGACAACCCTGATCAACTATGTATTTAACAATATGCCGTAAAAAATTGCACGCCTCAACAAACGGTATGTAATGTAAATAATAAACACTGACGTCACGGTGGCGTAATAAACGATTGCTATTTTTATTTCGGATGCCAGACCGAAATAGTTTTAATAATTAGACATAGGAAACGACTGACATGAATGCTGGCATACGGGTGACGACAGCTACGCAAATGCTTGCGAATAACTGTGCAAGTGTTGAAGGTCGATTCCTGGTGGAGTCAGTATCACTATAGGTTCAGCCAAACCAACGCGATCACACGCGATCAGCCAGCGTGCAGCGATGGCGATCAATGCATTTAAGTCTGATCGCGTTGGTTTGGCTTAACATTATCTCCATAAGTGTTTGCAAGTAGGCTTTTAAAAAGCACTTTTACACGCCGCAGTATAAACCATACGACTGCTCCGGGACAATAAATTGGCCAGTGCTGAAAAGAAGCAGCGCAAGAAATTCGGTTACTATTGTGTCTCTTTTTCAAGGGTTTATAAAATATATTTATGCAAGTTAGGCACACTTAGGCAGTATTGAATGTTCATAAAGTCAAAAAAGTATATTATTTTCTAAAATACAACTACTACCTAGCCGTCTGTTTAAATCTTGGAAAACCCTAAGTTGTAGAAATTAATGTGTCTGGTTTCAATTGCTATTAATGAGGTTGATTGATGGAATGTAAGGAACTCTGGATGCTTTCCAATAAGCATTAATTGTTTGGTATTTCCCAGGGAAATCCCTGGTATGTTTAATTTGCCAACGAGCAGTAAAATAGTTTTAGACGTAACAATGTAAATAGTTTAGAAACTTCGAATACATTTTAATTGAAATAACAAAATGTATCAATTTTCGTATCCTGTGTGTGTGTGGTGTATTTAAATTAATACATTTTAATAATAGAGAAACGCCCGTATTGACAAACATTACTATGAGGTCTCACAGTGCGCGTGGACGCACAGGCTGTCACCCAATCACAGAGCTATATTCAACGCTGTGCGTTCGATTTGTTGCTTCACTTAAGCAAGCATCGTTTGTTAATATGGGTGACAGAGGAGAAAATGAAGGGAAGTCGAACCTTAACTCGAACTCCTATGTTCTTCTGTACCTCTAGTAGGAAAAACTTTCGAGTTCGTTTCGTTGCGTATTCAAAGTGTCATCGAAAAATTTTGTATGAAAAATTAAACAGCGCCCCCTATATTATAGCCGCCCTAGGGGGCGCTGTTTAATTTTTCATACAAAATTTTTCGATGACACTTTGAATACGCAACGAAACGAACTCGAAAGTTTTTCCTACTAGAGGTACTGATTAATTTCGTTGCGGGTCCAATGACAGTTTAACTTTCCCCGGGACTTACTTGACCTTTACTGGTTGGGTTTTTATTGGCGGTTAAGCTGTTAGATCCTGGCTACACAGGAGTTGCAGCGGTGGGAGAGGAGGGAATAGTCCCGTAGCAAAAAAGTTAATGACTTCTGATGCGTTGTTTTAAGAAATAGGGCATTAATTGAGTTATTTGCTTCAGATTTCTGCCGAAACTAACGAGGGCATAATGTCAGCAGTGAACGGCAACGATGAGGAGCTGGACAGGCTGCGACAAGTGCTCGTAGAAGCTATTGATGAAGAGAAGACCAGGGCACAGAGGCAGCGTAAGTTTACAAAACAATGTTTTAGTATCTTATGTGTAGTATTTTACAAAAAAAATAGCCACGATAGCCGAACGGTGAAAGGGTCGGACTGGCCGACTCGAGATTCGAGGAAACGCGGGATCGAATCCTACCGCCGCTTGACTATTGTGGTGAGCCCACTCATAACACAAGCTTATTAAGCTTAATAAGCTTGTGTTATGAGTGGGCTCACCACAATAGTCAAGCGGCGGTAAGCTTACCACGAGGGGCTACAATACAAATTGCTAATAATCTTTAAAAAAAATAGTACATATAGTTTTTAAGTCTAGGTCCATGGTCTATAGTTTCTAAGGTTATAGATACTGACTGCACAGTAGTTGCAGCGGTGGGAAAGAGATGTGGTTGTGATTTTATGTTCATTGTTGCAAGAAATATTTGTTTGATGATTGAGTATTGACCCCGAAGGTAATACTACCACTTTGACAGCAAATCAACATGCTAGAGTGTACTCTAGTAGTGTACTTGACTTTAGCAATGTCATAGTAAAATGGAAGAGTAGTTCTATTGAGTCGGCCTAACAGTTCACGTGTGCGTGTAAGCAAAATTCAGCTAGTTTTAAGGTGATCCCATAATGCTGGTATAGGATGTTTTTCTGTTATTATGTGCGTACCAAACTGATGTTAAAATCCTGGTATCAGACGTTTTGAACCACTTACACTAGCTTCATGGTCTCCTATACGCATAGCTGGGCATTAACTCGTTAATCCGTTAATCGTTAATTAACGAAGTTAACATTTCTATTAACGGATTAACTTTTAAGTTAACTTTAAAAAATGTTAACGGACTCGTTAACTTCCGTTAAATTATCCTAAGTCCGTTAATCGTTAATCCAGTACCTACTATTTACCAAAAAGATACAGCAGGCGCGCTGAAAAACACTAGAATAAAAATTAGCCAAGTGCGTGTCGTGCCACGCGCAGTGTAGGGTTCCGTAGTTGTCCGTCATTAACACAATATATTTCAGAAGCAAGCAATTACTTCATCTAAAGTCACTTTTAATATTTTCTTCTAAGGAATTTTCACTAGTTAAGGAATTTTATAATACATGAGTTAAATGACTATTACTCTTAATCTCACTGATGTATCTTAACCGCTACAGTTTTCCTTGAAAGTTCATGAAAAGCAGTATCTTTACGAATTTTACTAGATTTTTAAAGCCAACAGTTTAGTTTGGGTTTGTTAGTATGTGTGGGACAAATCTTGCAACTGATTTTAAGACCAGTTCTCAACCGATAGAGCTGAATTTTGGTACACTTATGTAAGTACGATGAAAATGCAATGTTATGGTACCATTAAGCTGGTCTGATGATGGAGTCAGGAGGTGGGCATAGGAACTCCTAAATGAAACNGGCTAATGCAGGATCGATCTTTTTGAAAATCCTTGGGGGAAGCCTTTGTCCAGCAGTGGACTTCATTTGGCTGAAACGACTCCACGCTCTATGTCAGAAGGCCAAGGATGAGATGCTGAAGCACTACCGCCCGCCGTCCCACCTGATGTCCCTGCCTGGATTGCATTGCCACCGGGACACTAATGTGGACCGGGACGAGAGGAAGTGGCTGTCTTTCAAAGGTACTTCTTAACTACCCTCAAAAGGTAAAGGTAGTGTGGGTAGGCACTAGGTGCACCGACGATCTGGTGAAGGTCGCGGGAGGTGGCAGGATGCGGGCAGCGCAGGATCGGTCTTTGTGAAAATCCTTGGGGAAGACATTTGTACAGCAGTGGACGTCATTTGGCTGAAAAGACTCCACACTCTACGTCAGAAGGTAGGATGAGATGCTGAAGCACTACCGCCCGCCGTCCCACCTGATGTCCCTCCCGGGATTGCATCGCCACCGGGACACTAATGTAGACCGGGACGAGAGGAAGTGGCTGTCTTTCAAAGGTAATGCTTAACTACCCTCAAAAGGTAACGGTATTGTGGGTAGGCCCCCCACTAGGTGGACCGACGATCTGGTGAAGGTCGCGGGAGGTGCCAGGATGCGGGTATTGCAGGCCTTTGTCCAACAGTGGACGTCATTTGGTTGAAACGACTCCATGCTCTACTTCAGAAGGCTAAAGATGAGATGCTGAAGCACTACCGCCCGCCGTCCCACCTGATGTCCCTCCCGGGATTGCATCGCCACCGGGACACTAATGTAGACCGGGACGAGAGGAAGTGGCTGTCTTTCAAAGGTACCAACATAAAGTAGCTGAAGCACTACCGGCCGCCGTCCCACCTGATGTCTCCCGTCCAACCTGATGTTCCTGCCAGGTCAGCACCGCCACAGGGACACTAACGTGGCTGTCTTTCAAAGGTAATTCTTAACTACCCTCAAAAGGTAAAGGTAGTGTGGGTAGGCACTAGGTGGACCGATGATCTGGTGAAGGTCGCGGGAGGTGCCAGGATGTGGGCAGCGGAGAATCGGTGTTTGTGGAAATCCTTGGGGGAGGCCTTTGTACAGTAGTGGACGTCATTTGGCTGAAACGACTCCAAGGCCAAGGATGAGATGCTGAAGCACTACCGCCCGCAAGTACCGAAGTGGCTGTCTTTTAAAGGTACCAAAAATAATATAGAAGCGGCAAAAATCAAATAGGTGTCGGTGTCGGATCGAATCCAAGGAACGCGGGTTCGATCCCCACTGTGCCACTGGACTCTTGAGCTGAAACCCACTCGCAACACAAGCATTTTTTTTTGTTAAATTGAATGGCAATGTCTAGGTTGGTCCCATTTAAATAGGAAAACTACCTAGTTCAGTTGTTTTAAAACAAAATCAGTGGAAAAGTGATGTTATCGAATGACGAATGCTGCAGTTCAGGCAAAGGTTTTAGCTTTTTCGTGAATCGCGTCGAATGTTATTGTTGTTTTATGTTATTGATTCCTGGTCTTGCTGCGTGATTGATTATGTACACCAACAAAAGAAGACGGAAATGACATTGGGAACTTTTTGCCCCACTTTTCGAAAAGTAGCGGACACAAACGAAACCTATCCCAGATGATACATACTAATATCCAATGAATTTCCGTCCATTTTTTTTTCTCTCTTATATGGGAATATTGAGAAAATGAAGTTTTAATATTTTATTTTATTTTACATTTAGGTAACATTTTTGAAGACCTCCGTGGCGGAGAGGCGCACACACCGGTTTTCAAGGTGTGCCGGGCCAATCCTGAAGTCCNCCTATACGTCTAAATAGTACTCTTACGAGGGGCGGCTGAAAAGTTTTGAGCCTAAGTATCTTCAAGTGTTATTATTGACTCGCACTAAATTTAATTAATTTGCCCATAGCCTCCTTAGTATATGTACAAAGTTTCATTTCATTAGCGTCATCACGCTTTTAGTAATTAATCCGTAAACATCATCATGTCTCAGTCATCCGCACAATGTACGAAATTGAAGTACACAGTTGTCATAAAATTCCTCAAAAAGAGGAACAGAACGCTGATGGTAACATTTGAAGAGATGTCGACAGTTTATGGGGAATCTGGGCCTTCATTTGCCACCATGAAAGATTGGATCCGATAATTCAAGCATGGCAGGGAGTCGCTAAAAGATAACCGCAAGTCAGGACGGCCAGATTTCGCCATTAACGAATAAAATAATGAAAATTTAAAGAATCTTGTTTTAGGGATCAGCGAATTAAGCTGTGACGGATAGCTGAAGCTATAGGCATTAGCAAGGAACGTATCGGCGATATTTTTCATACTCATTTGCACATGAAAATGGGGTGTGCGCAATGAGTGCCAAATATGCTCACGCCTTTCGACAACCAGCGTCGAGTCACAACTTCGCAGGAGTTTTTGGACATCTCTGGCCATAATCCTATCAATTTTTTTTCTCTCACTGTCACTATTGATAAATAATAGATCCGGCAGTACGATCTAGAGTCAAAATAAGAGTCAATGCAATGGATTCAAAAGGGAAAACGCCGCCGCGGAAATTCAAAGTGGAGCGATCGACACCCAAGCTCATAGCCACTATTTTTGGGATTGTGGAGGAATTTTATTCATTGACTACCTATTTAAAAAAAACTACAATAAACGGGGATTATTATGCTGTACTGTTGATAAAAGTGCGTCAAGTGGTTGTTGAAATATTAAGAGGAAAACTGGCGAAAGGAAATCTGTTATTGCAAGACAATTCGCCCGCGCACACCGCGCATTTTGTATGGCTTGCCCCGGGTAAAACTAGATTTAAAAAAAACTAATCACCCACTACACAGTTTAGTTCGAATCTCTAGCTATTTTTTGTAATTCTCAAATTGGAAAAAATACCTCCAGGAACGAATATTTTTGAGTGACAAAGAAATGAAGGCGGCGTTAAAGGCTCATTTCGAAGGCAAAAATTGCGAATTTTTTTTCAGTGGGTTAAAAGTTCTTTTACGCAAATGTAAGAAGTCCGTTGTAGTAGAGGGAGATTAAATAGAAAAATATATTTTTTATACTTTTCTATCGGCATTTTTAATACCCTAGGCTCAAAACTTTTCAGCCGCCCCTCGTATGCCCTAATTTTTAAGTGACCCCTATGTAAACAAAATTCCTGTTATTTGTTGCCATAGGGTTCACTTAAAAATTAGGGATTGATGGTGAAAACGGGCACGAATCACGGATTCGTGTTTTATTTTCCCACTTCGATATGGATATTGCAGCATACTTATATAAATTGTGACATTAATTTATTTGTATAATTTTTTGAATCATGAAGAATTGATTCTGTTGCATGCCGATATGGTATGATGTACCTAGCTGAACAATATTTTATTGAGTGACCTGTATGTACATTATGCAATAAAATTGTTTGATTTGATTTGATTCAAATATGTGTTACTGTCCCTGTATACTATGGTTGTACTAGTGGCACTTAAATACTATGTTTGCTAACGTTGCACAAGTAGGCTAGGCTAGCACAGAGTAAACGTTTAATGGTTCTTGCAGTTCGGAAGTAAATACAAAGTTATGTAGGCGTATTTAAATTTGATTTTCGAAAGAATTAACTATCTTGCTGTAGATAGCAGGCCTGTTCATCTCCGCGAGTTTACATCGAAAACAAAACACGCACGATGGCCCACCTACAGGATACTATTCGACAAGGCCTCACATACGAGCGAACATTGACTCACGCACGCGTATTCTTGTGTATGATGGATGAAAATAAAGAAAATGATGTACTAAATACTGTGCAGTCTTTAACTGCCTAAATAATAATAAAAACACAGAATGTACTTTTTTAAGTAGCCTCAAGACACTGAGAGGTAAATAATATAAGTAGTTAATATTATTCATGATAATTCATGCTAAATCATGTATTTCCTCCGCCATTTTCCGCAGTTTGGCACCTCACGTCACATAATTTTACCGAAGTCAGCCCTATAGCTTCGGCGCAGTGCCGATCACTGACGTTTGTCAACAAAATGGTGCTTGACTCTTGAGACAGGCTAAATTACACCATATTGTTAATGACATTGAGCATACATTTTTTTAAATACCTTCGCGAAGTAAAACTTCTGTACGTATATACCTACTTATTATTATTCTGTGTAGATAGCTACATTATTTGTCAGTCTTTATTTTAGCTGGTGGACTTAAGACCATGAGATCGCGATAACAATTAATTTCTATTGTGTCTCGATTCGCTGGTACTTATCGTACTTGAAGGGTTAATGATGTCAGATCAATTTTCTGGCACGGATAGCATAATGTCTGATGTCTTGGCAACACCTAACTTTAACTTTGACAAACGTCAAAAATCTGTCAAACTCCATACAAAAAACACCGGTTATCGTTATAGTTACAGTCAAAGTAAGATGGTGCAACCCAGCCTAAGTCATCTGTTGTAGATATTTTTAAAGTAAGATGACTTTGAACTCCTATAGATCTAGCGCTTAACTCGAGTGCCTGAAGTATGGAAGCGGCTCAGGAGGGTGATTTTGAGACGGTCAAACGTCAGCAAAACTTCAGATTTGTATGCCCTGTCACGTCATAATATGTCAATGCCCCTCCCGTGCCGTTCCCATACCTCACTCACTGACTGTTAAGTGCTAGACCTAATTATAAATGGAGCATTCCACGCGAATCGGACAGGTAAAAAAAGTCGATGTTTCCGATTTCAGTAATATTTGAGTATGTTCTACCTATACATATTATTGATACGTGTACCAAATATTTTTGTAATATAATGACTAGTTTAAGAGTTATGGGTCTTCGAAGTTTTCGACAACCGGTTGGCATGCAGTACTTCAAAGTCGATTATGGAGTCATAAAATTATATATTAAAATAATTAAACCACGGGATTTATTACTTCATTTACCGTGCTTTTTAACTGTATTTGTGGAAACGAAAAAAAAATTATTTTTTCCTAAAAAAAATGCAAATTAATTTTTTTTCCTTGATTTTCACAAAGTTCGACCCTTTCGATTTTTTTTATTTTTTTTATTTAAATAGCTAATATTGTGTAGAATATTCATGCCAACTTTCAAAGTGGGCGTGGAAGTGGATTCGGAGCTAGACTGAAGACTAGCTTTCCGCCCGCGGCTTCGCCCGCGTGGAATTTTGTCTGTCACAGAAAAACTTTATCGCGCGCGTCCCTGTTTCAAAAACCGGGATAAAAACTATCCTATGTTCTTTCCCGGGACTCAAACTATCTCTATGCCAAATTTCATCAAAGTCGGTTGCGAGGTTTAAGCGGGAAAGCGTAACAGACAGACAGACAGACAGACAGACAGACAGACAGACAGACAGAGTTACTTTCGCATTTATAATATTAGTTGGGATATTTACTAAGTTGCTGGACAAAGGCATCCCCTAAGCTTTTCCATAACGACCGGTCCTGCGCTGCCCGCATCCAGGTTCTTCCCGCGACCTTCACCACAAAGATTACTAAGCACATACCTAACAGGAAAATAATTCTAAAGTTATCTTTTCTAAGCCCGTAAGACGGTCATCAATTATACGAAAATGATAAGAGACATTACCTGCCTAGGTCGCATCTACATGGACCTCATAAAGGTAGCAGGAAGGCGCTAGATGCAGGCTGCTACCAACCGATCATTATGGAAATCAATGGGAGAGGCCTATGTTCAGCAGTGAACGTCCTATGGCTCATATGATGATGATGAATCATCTACTTGTTTACATTACTTTATACAGTGTGAGTCACGTTAAAGTGTACATATGAAAATATGTGAAACTAGACTTATTTTTATCGACAAAAAAGAGGTCAAAATTTTTTTGAGATTTTTTTTAAATTTTTTATAGAATTTTTTTTCTTCCAATTACTTCTCGTAAAGAAAATGTAATAACTTTTAAACTAAGAGGTATATCCTAATAAAATAAAAACAGTAATAATGCTGAATAACAGGCGATACTAAAAAAATACATAAATTACCCAGAAAATTCAAACAAATAATAAAAAATGATACTTTTTGAAAAAAATCTGCTTAAAAATTCGTATTTTTTTGGTTATTTGATAAATTTCTCAAAAAAATGCCCCTATAATAGGTGGTTTTTATTACTTTGTATTATTCTCTATCGTATTATCTTTGTAAAACCAAAAATCGCATGTCTCTATCTCTATCACAACATTTGCTATGATCGTTTGAACAAAGGCCTGCCACAACATTATTCTCCGTTACAGGTAGAGACAATTTTAATTTTAACTAAAATGCTTATTTTTCTTCAAAATCTTTGGTTTTTATTTGAAATCTAACTTGTTTTTATCAAAATTACAAATCTAGAGCCATTTTTAGTTTCGTTGTTAACGAAGCGTTGAACGGCGCGCCCGGAGAGGCTTAGTTCAAACGATCATTGCAAACGTGGCAATAGGGATAGAGACATGCGATTTTTGGTTTTACGAAGGTAATACGATAGAAAATAATACAAAGTAATAAAAACCATCGGTTATAGGGGCATTTTTTGGAGAAATTTATCAAATAAGCCAAAAAACACGAATTTAAAAGCAGATTTTTTTCAAAAATTATCATTTTTTATTATTTGTTGGCCTTTTTTGTGTATTTTATGTATTTTTTTAGTATCGCCTGTTATTTAGCATTATTACTGTTTTTATTTTATCAGGATATACAGCTTGGTTTAAAAGTTATTACGTTTTCTTTACAATAAGTAATTGGAAGAAAAAAAATTCTATAAAAAAATAAAAAAAAATCTCAAAAAAATTTTAACCTCTTTTTTGTCGATAAAAATAGGTCTTGTTTCATCTGCTTTCATATGTACACTTTAACGTGACTCACACTGTATTACAAAGACTAGGACATTCAAAAAATGTATTTCATGTAATTAAATTTATATAAATAAATAGATAATGTCTTTATTGTGAATCACAGGTTATATACATACAGGTCACATATTACAATTAGTTTCACTGTGTTCCGCCTTTTAGGCATACAATAATATGTTGACAAAGGTTGAGTTTCCTGAGACAACTTTTAAAGGGCAAGCATATTTGGGACTTATTGAAGTGCCCTGAGGGGGCCTACATACTAATAAAGATTTTGCACTCCAGGGTTTGAACCCAGACGGCGAAGCATTACACCACGAGCAACTCAACGAGACCACGCCTTACGATATGAGCAACTCCGAGTTCTGGTCATCCTTCTCTAGCAGCGAGGAGGCTTTACTAGAGTGCGAGGGCCTGATCCTCAACCTGCCTCTGACTCCTCACAGCACCTGTCGAGCTGACGCTTCGGATGAGGAGACCTTGGCTGCTTCGAGAGCTAACGCTTTGACTTACAGGTATGTATTTTTCTACTGGTATACGTCATGTAATGAGTTATAGAAATTTCGTTGAAATACAAATCTCGTTTAGATAAAGAATCTGGAATAAAAAGTAAAAAATGTTTATTTCTTAACGATGACAAG